ATTTATGTGACATGTTCTTGTTTTATTATGTTATTATATAACAGTGTCTGTATTGTACATAGCTTTATACTAAGCAGCTATTCGGTTCTTTTTATTGAACTAATTTTACCCCTTTTCCTACATCTAAATATGGGTTCAACCAATCAGCAAAGCTCTTATCCATCACGTGATCATTATTGATCCGTTTATTAAAAGAGAAAGTATGGTTTATTGAACTGCTGAATTTTTCGAACCCACCATCCACCCCATCTGCCACCTATGCTTGTTATTTCTTTCAGGTTGACATTTTTGTTGTTATATTTTACCCATCTTTTTTGATAGTGTTTGAATGGGTTTAAAAGAGATTTATAGTACTTATTTTCTACTGCACGTTCTAACTGAACAAGTAAACTTTTTGTACATGGTAATAAATGGCAAATCCATGTATTAGGTTACTGAGAATGAGTCCGACATTTATTTTGTGTACCTCGCAATTTTGCTTCGGTCTGCAGGTTTCCATATGATTTTTCAACATAAAGCAGTGTTGCTTTTTATATATGGTTTTTCCTCGGCGGTGAGAGAAACATAGTTGTGTTCAATTTAATGCCTGCGCGATTGTATTGTTATTGGCTGTTTGTTGTTTTGTTTTCCCACCTTTTTTGATGACAGGCAGCAGTTTAGAGCATTTTGTATATGTCTTCCAAACTTATGATGTTTATAAGGGGGTCAACTTAATATGCATGTATATTGTACCTTGTGAAAGATTACAGGGTTTGAATTATTATTCTAGTCTGGTTGACCCCCCTTTTGCCTATGTACATCATGTTACAATGTCATTATGGTGCTGGGGGTCAGATTGTGTAATATTTTGACTAAGATGTGTAATATTCTATATTTGAGTCCTCCTTTTTCTGACCCCCATTTTGTTAACTTGTTTTACTTTTCCGTCATTTACTTTAATAAATGACATATTTCACTTCAGCATGATGTTATTTGTTTTTGCATGTTTATCAAAAAACAAGCTCAGTCGTTTGGCAGGAGAACTAAGGAACATAAAAAACATTTTTATAGCTTGAGTTAAAATCCCGAAAGTAATGAACTTTTTCAACCCGAGAAAAGCTTTTTTCTATAGGAATGTTTCACAGACAATTTTTTGTCATCATGTCATATCTTTTAATATTATATAACTTTGTGAAATCCGGTAATCTGATTGGTCAATACGAAGTAATTATTTCTTAATAACGAGCACTGAAAGCGGATAATGACTCGCTGTCTCGTTTTCACTTTCGCTTTAGACAAACATGGAATTTTGCAAGTTGTGGGAGAGGAAAATTTAAAAGATATAGTGAAGAACTCTGAGACTGAGAATACAAAACAATATTACAAGGATATCTGTGAACATTTTTCGGGAATACTTATCACATAACATTTCATGGTTGAATTCGACTTTTCCACTCGGCGAGCAGAGTTTTGACGCTGTTTTCGCGATTACAGAGATTAAAGAAAATAAAGACGACTCGAGCGTGCCATGTATGATTGTATCTTATCGTAGAAGACATAAATATTTATATTTTGTCAGTACATATAATTTTCTCTGCAAGTGTAAACGGGTGCAATTCTCAATCTGGGGGAGGGGGTACTCTGTGTTATTCGGAGGTAGATATCTTGCGTTATGATCATGCTATGGGTTAAAATTTATTACTGAAGCAAGTTCCTCTGAGTAACATTCAATAAATTCTGAAACATTTACATTTAACTTATTAATGGTACATTTACATTTAACTTATCAATGGTTAATTCAATCTCTGTAAATATTAGGAAGATATACATTGTACGATAAATAAATTTGGGAAAATATTATTTATATAATAAATATGGACTCAATGCACGGTCAATATGCATTTATAATGACCCAGGCTGACAGATATTGACCTCAAATACATGGAGTATATCGACCTCGGGCTAACGCCCTCGGTCGATATACTCCATGTATCTTCGGTCAATATCTGTCGTCCTGGGTCATTATAAATGCATACTGACCTACATTGAGTCCATATTTGTATAATAATGAACGCCCCGATCTATATACATATGTACTTATTAAAAAAATTTAATTTTCACATTTTGATATTATCGGCATTTTGCACGTTCTGTTCGTCCATCCTCTTTCCAAATATACTTAAAATATCTATTAACTCATAAGATAAGGTTATAAACCACAGTAGACAACCTCTGTCTTAAGGTAAGTCACTCGTCAGCTTTTTAGAAAAGTTCACGCAGAACCTCTTACTTAAAAAATATTTATTAAAATTCAATTTTTATAAAATATTTATATTGAACAATGTAAATTTTTTAACATTCATCGAAAAAACTGCTTAAAAATCTACAAAGAAGCAAAGTTTATGAGGGACTATTTCTTGTGGTGGAAGGATATTCAGCAGAAATTTCTGCAAATCTGCACATTTATTAAATTTAATGTCTTGAAACTTTAGCCTCATATACTTTTACTCGGAGAATATTTTCCATTATGATATTGCAGGAATATTTAATATAGGTCTTCATTCATATTTTTAGAGCAAGTTTTGCACCTTCCCTCAACAAACTTTGCCAAGAAATGAAGATATATTAAAGAAGTCAAGATAAAATTTACACCATTTTTTGCCTGAAAATCACATATTTTGACCAATATTTCAAAATTTACATCACTGACCCCAACTTTTTCTTTCATTATTTTAAACTACTCGATACTTGTGACTGATCAGCACTTAACTCCTAAAAAGCTTGATATAAGAAAATATTTTCTTGCCTATTTAGTTTTTTAATACCCCAAATTTGTTATTTTTTAGTGCAAAAAGGTCACACAATATTAAACGCGCATTAATTTTCAAGATTTGTTCAATGATAAATATTATTCAAACTATTTTATGTAAAATAAGATTAAATTTATTAACGTAGTAACATCTGATAAAATAAAATTAGAGATAAAGTAATAAATGAAAGGTTTAAAATTTAAGTACAAAAAGGTCAACTTAATTGTACCATAGATCAGTAAGATGCACACTGACCCCCTATTTTCTCTGCGATTTTGAGTCATACTATATGAGTACTTATCCAAGATATACTTCCCAAAAAATCCTTGATTTAACAAATTTGACGAGTGACTTACCTTAATAATATATGTTAAATATTTTACAAACAATACGTCTGAAAATACAATTTCATTAAAGAAAACGTAAATACATATATCTTTTGAGACTCACTTTTTGCGTTGTGATACGTTATTAAACCTTTTTCGATACATTGTTACAGTTACGAGACTACAACGATAAAATAACTTAAGGTCAGACGACACTTTCCTAAAAATAAATATATATTTCCTAAGAATTTGCCATTGAAGAATAGGTACTTAAACAAGATTCCTCACAATAAATTATGGTACCTAACCAGGCATTTGGGCAAGATACCATAGAGTGATATTTTCTAATGGGTAATCTTCTGAATAACCTATATCACGCACCAATTTTGGTGTACTTATATTCAAAATTACTTTGAAAACAATGTAGAAATCAGAAGAGAATGATAAATATGAATAATTTTTGATATAATACCAAGAAATACAAATCATATAATTGAGGAAGGTGTCGTCTGACGTTAATGTTATGTCCATGGGATTTTTTTTTTACATTGAAAAATTCCGATTGTCCTTCGAGTAAGTTGTAAGTCATAGCTTAGTCTCACGTTAAAAGAAAGGATACAAATGAGTCATAATAGTTCATATATTTTGTAAACAGTAAATTAATATTCTACTCAAGCATATGCTCGACAGATTTTTGTAACTGTTTTCAAAAAAGTTAACCCTTTGTTATCTACATCATTTTATTTCAATATAAAGAATCTGAGTCAAGGTGTTTCATGATCCGTAGACGGGGTCCAGTAAATGCATATGAACCATTAACCTTTCTGTCCACATTCTTACTTTAGAATGAGGTAATTCACATCAGCATGCTTCAAATGCACCAGAATTATCGTCTTTGTACTTCGCCAGTGTCCCCAGAATGCCCCTTATCCCTTTTTCTTGGTCATGATTTCTTTCAGCGGTGTAATAAATTAGTATATAGTCCTCAGGATTTATGGTGACATCATCGACCAGCAATCCTACTGCAGAAAGATTCTTCAAAACCACTGTCCAACAAAACAGCTTTATCTAAATCGCCTTAGCGAAAGATTGATTTTTCAAAATCAAGAAAATACAATCACTATACACTAATTTTACCATTTGAAAATAGTCAATGCTCATCCTTTTTTAATAGAGAAATGATGCCTATTGGTTAAATAATCTTATTTAGTATTGTTTAGAAGTTATTAAAGTAATTGAAGATTTGGAAAGTTCTTTTATTAACAATGCGTCTCTTCGAGTTTTTTTTATTTTTTTTATTCATCATTTTTTAAAAAATTAGAATATAATTGTCAAACGTTGTTCATTGTAATTGTTTACTTACCAAAAGAGTCTGGTATGAACTTTAAATAAGTGTCTTTGAAAATAATGTATAAATAACATAAGTAATTTTACATCTTCATTACTACTTAAAGTACTTGACTCGACAATCAGTATATTCATTGTAAATAAAGCAGGGAAAGTTTTGTTTCGCATGCTTAAAAAGAAATTGTAATATATTTAAAGCTACATATGAGGAAAAAATAAATTAAAGTAGATATTTCTGATCTTCTGATCAGAGAGAGAGAGAGAGAGAGAGAGAGAGAGATACCAATGTATTGTACTATGTAAATTCATCCAATGAATTTATTTCAATTATCCTGAAGAAGATCGAACTACAATATTCATTTTTTTAATGAAAATATCGCAGATAATATAGACATTAACAGACTACGTCAAACAATTTTCCTATAGTTAGACATACACGCAGTGTCCAACTTTACACCAAAATACATGATGTTGTTATTAATTAAATTAAGACTCATTACATGAAATTTATCATTCTGACCGGAAACATATATATAAAGAACAACATCCCCTTGAAGTGTGCAGTTCCTAAGTTTATGTTAACTTATAGAGATGCATCGGACATTAATTTCAGTTTTAGTGTTGTGTTGCCTTGGGTCCTGTGTTGGCCAGTCTCAAGGTATTTTATTAACTTATATGGAGTTTTAGTTTTAGAAGTCATACAACAGAGTGTTAACCTTAGATTGTGAAAAGTTTTGTTTAAAAAAAAAATTAGAAGGAATCTATGTCGAGTGATTTTGGCTGAATGCTTCAGATTTGAATCCGATGTTAAATTGAATTGACGATATATTTTCATTCGTTTGTTCTTTACTTCCACTCATATATAAAAGATAAAATTTGAAATCCAACAGAAAAAATTAAAATATTAGGAATTTCATTCTCTATTTATTATATATTTCAAAATAAATGACATTTTTGCACATTTTCAAGGACATTACAACTTTGTGAGTGATTGTCTTAAATTCAAATTGACCATATCAAGGTGAAGACACGATCAATATCTTTATCCTAATTGTCATCGTGGACAAATTTTACTGTTACCAATCATGTGTACTTTTATTATGTTAATTTTTTTCTTTCTCAAAAAGAAAATATAATAAAAAGGTCAATCCCATTTCGAGATTGATAATTTATTTTAAAAATAATTGTTTAACTTAAATTCATACATTTTTCTTATTTGCACATATGGTGAAGAAATTGTTTTAAAGATATACAAATTATTTTTAAAAAAGGAACCTTTACTTAGAAAAAAAACAGCAACAACAGGTTTTAATGATTTTGAACTGAATTTCGTTGATTAGAAGATCACAAAAGCTAACAAGATTGTTGTTTGTTTTAAAATTCAATACTTATATATTCTTAAACTAATTTTACTTACAGTTAATTCTGTTTAAATGAGAGAATCCTTGAAGCCTTTGTTTGAAACAAATGTGAACATTATTCACAGTTAAGAAACTCCCTTAAAAGAGAGATATAAAATAATGAGGAAGTTATCTCTTAAAAGACAATTTCGAAAACTTTTGTTGCTTACATCTATAAATCGACATATCTTTAAATTACGCTGTCTGCTATATCTTTTTGATATATCTTTGTTAAATTTTTCATATCGATAATGTAAAAGTTCTTTTAGAATTGTAAATGTTAAAAATTTCAGATTTATTTTTATAGCATTTATTTAATTTGCCGCATATTTTTGCTATTCATATGGAAGAAAAAAACGATTTCACGAGAGTTTCCATTTTCCTTTTAGGTATCATTGATGCACTGTGTGGTAAGATTGGCAAGTTACTTTTATGTCAATGTGCTGCTGAAGGGGCATGCGAAGACGGTCATCTTCCTGTAGGAATGTGTCCAAGGATCCCCGGGTTGCCAATGCCACCCCGGCTACAATGCTGTCCACCTATTCACGTAATGCTCTGCTTGCAGTCACAAAGAGGAAGTTCCAACAGGGCTCAAACGAGAAATTCACTTCTATACCCGGGGGCTAAACCACAACCCTTTATATGATTTACATTATAAAAAGGATTGTGTTATGTTTGACATCCGAAAAGTGAAATCAAGAAGACATTGATGTGTTATATTGAAACAGAATTATTCTTCAAATACAACATTGTCATATCCAGTCGAGCTTATTTATTCTATTATAACATGGATATTTTATAAACAACTAAAGTTATGATAATGTTCCATGATGGGTTTCTAAAAGAAATGTGAAACACCTCTACAGAGGTAGAAAAAATAAAGATACTTTCAAATTATCTTTTGTTCAGAGTATGGTTACATGTGATTATTCCAAATTCCTAAGTTTGAAATGAAAGGTAGATAGTTACGAGGGAAACAGTCAGCAAGTTGAATTTTCAGCATTTTTGCGTTAGTTTAATGCCTGAAATCCTGTTTATTTTCTCAAGCAAAATGAAATTATTGAAACTTTGAAAAAAAAAATCCATTTTCAACTGGGATCAGACTAAGAGAAGAAAGTTTTCAGTATAAATGGACAAATTTGGAATAAAAATCCAGAAGTTTGAACATTGTAGCGACCAGAGTAATAGATGCGCTAAGTTAATGATCTAAAAAAAAAATCGACGTTTTGTAAACAAAAAGCTATCAAAAAACATCAAAAAGATGCTTGACTTTCTGATTAACAATATGTATGTAGTTTTGGGGAACCAGGTCTTTTAACAATTTATTAGAATTCCCATGGGTACTAATAGCGCTCCATTATACATATTTTTATACTCACATGAAGCATAATTTGTCAAAAATGTTATACGTGAAAAGAAAAAAAAAGCATTCGACATACATCGACGACGTATTGTCAATAGGTTATTTCCATTCTTATGTCTGTACACTATATCCAGGTGTGCTTGAGATTTAAAGATACCACGGAATCTGACACATCTGCTTCACATTTGGATATTTTACTTGAAAAGGCGTTAATGGTAATCTAACAACCAAACTCTAAGAAAAAGTGATGACTTTAACTTTACAATTGTCAACTTCCCTTACTTATGCAGCAACATACCATCATCACCTACATACGGAGTTTATATATTTCAGCTGATTCGATATGCAAGAGCATGCTCTACATATGTACAATTTCTAAAACGAGGTAAATTATTGACTAGCAAGTTGCTGGAACAAAAATATCAGCAGTCTTGTTTAAAGTCATCATATCGTAAGTTCTATGGTCGATACAATGACATGGTCAGCATTTATACAATTTATAACAGAGTCAATTGCTGACTGTAGTTCTTCATACTGTTAGTCCATCATTAACACACCGAATTGACGACGGATTTTTCCGCTATTTCCTGATCATGAGAAGGAGCACATTGCGGGTGTGACCGGTCGGCAGGGGATGCTTACTCCTCCATGGCGCCCGATCCCACCTCTATTGTTTCCGATGTCCGTGTTTGCTGTACTCCAATTTTATACTGTTTATGGACTTTTTAGCTTTAATACTGTACGTTATGTTCATATATTTCATTCCTTCATATTTATACTTAATATATTCCTGTGGAATCGGAGTAAAGGGTATCACAATCTATGCAGTTGCTATTTCATACCTGTATATTTTTCTGACGTTTGCAGATTGAGTGATTGTATGTTGTTTAACCTCCCTGTCTTTTTTTCACTTATATGTAGACACCACCACTTACCGGTGGATAGCTGCAAATTGTGTCAAATACTTGGCACTTAAGGCCACTGAGCAGTGAAGGGTCTTTTTCATGCCAGCATCTACTGCGACATGCAATCTCGATTTATATGGTCTCATCTGAAGGATCGGTCTCCACACCCCATAGTGAGATTCGAACCCGCAAAGAAAGGATGAACTCCCTACCTCGCGACTCTAGAGGAGACGCTCTAACTACGGCGCCACACAGGCGACTATGTTTGAGGAAGTCGCCCGTGTGGTAGAGTCGCGAAATAGGGAGTAATTTGTCCTTATGTCGCGGATTCTCACTGTGAACGTTGAGACAGGACATTCGGATGAGACCATATCAACCGATAACCCATGTAACAGTAGATGCTGTCATGAAAAAAATCCATCACTGCTCAATGCATGGCCCTTAGTACCGAGTGTAGGTTTAAATTTGCAGCTCTTCACCGGCAAGTGGTTGTGTCTTCTTATGACTGAAAAATTCTCCAGACATTTAACAACAAACAAACAACAACAAAAATAAATATTGAAATAGAATCATGTTTCATTTTTCAGATATTTCAGAAAGTATCCATTATTTGTAATTAATTGGAAAATATGCAAGTGCATTCCTCTACTACAATTTCAAAGATGGATAGCAAAATGATTCATTAAATATGAAAAAGTTTTGCAAAGAAATGGACTTGAAAAGTACATGTATTAATGCAATAATAATATACAAATGGAGAAAAAAAATCTAAATCTCTGTATTCCAATTACATACCCTTAAAACATCTACAAAACACATTTTCTTACTCAATTTATCCCTGATCTGACTGTAACACATTAAGTCCAAGATTTCTGATATAGTTAACAGTATAATGCTTAAGTTTACACAAAAGACATGGTGAATTAAACCCATACGACGAATTTAGCATTTTGACCGGAAACCTATATATAAGAAAAAACAAACTCCCCCTGTGTGCAGTGTTTAGGTAAGTGGTCAGTTACAGGGATGCATTGGACAATAATTTCAGTTTTAGTGATGTGTTACCTTGGATCCTGTGTCGCCCAGTCTCAAGGTATTTTGTTAACTAGTATAGGGTTTACTTTTGTTTTAATGAAGCCAAATAAATCATAGCATAACCATATAAACTTTATTTAATTTGTTTATTATTTTAATATTACTGAACTGTGTCAAAGGATTTCAGCAAAATTCAGAAATTGATTTTTTTTTTCTTTTTCTTTCTTTTTTGCATACGGAAGGTTGAATATTTAAATCGTGGTAACTGATCCCTACTCAATCTACAAATATTTCTTTAATTCAGTGGAACAAGAAATAATGAAATTGTCGCTTTGTATTTTGTTTTATCATTCGATATCATGGACTATTTTTACGGATTAATGGATCACTTCGTGATCGTTTCAAATATTTTTGATCATGGCCAATATACTGGCGTCGGACAATTTTTGGTCAGAAAAACTTACTTCGGATCTCATGAACTAATAATGGCCTTTAGAAAAAAACAACAATTGTTTTTATTATATTATTCGAATTGTTTGTAGATTGAAAGCTGATTTATGCATATATGTTTTAAGATGTTTTTAAAATAACTTTAAATATTCTAAAACTTATTTCCTAGGAGTATATCTTTTTACATAAAAAAAAAACTCTCTGAATCTTTTCATTCACAACAAAAGTGAAATAAAATCGTTTTTCAAGAATCCTTCTTTAAGCTAAATTATTTAATTTTCTGAGAAGTTATTTCTACAAAGGCGGTGCTTAGGCAATGACATAAGTAGCCTATTTCGAATAAGAAATATTCAAATTTTCAAAAATTTATATGTTTAAAATTTCCATTGAAAATTGGGGTACTTTTCTTTTTAATATTTAGAAATGTTGTATTAAATGAAATTAATATTCAAAAATTAGAAAAAAGATTTGAAATGACCAGACGATTGTTTACATTTTCCTTTAAGGTATCACACTGTGTGGCAAGATTGGCAAGATGTTTTTCTGTCAATGTACATCGGAAGGGGCGTGTGATGATGGCTCCTTTCCTGTAGGAATGTGTTCAAGGATGCCCGGAATACCAATGCCATCTCATTTACAATGTTGTCCGATTAACTACCTAATGATCTGTATGCCGTAACAAGGCTGAAATTCCAACTAGTACAAGATCATCTATACCCGAGTGTAAACCAAAACCAATATTACAACTGGTAAAAGAATTGGATTTCAAATTTGGCTTCCGAACAGTGAAATCAAAATGACAGTAATGTGTAAAAAGAAACATTTTCTCTACAAAGATATGTGTTAATATGCAATCGATTCCTTCACTAGCTTTTCTACCACGGAGGTTTATAAAACTGAACATATAAAAAGTTTCTTAATTCATTTCATTTTATACTTAAATTTTCATTTTATCGTATATTTCAGTTTAAAATGTATTTTTAAAAAATTGCTTTCTGTAATTGTATCCTTCTATGTGTGATATATATATACGTTATGAACAGTAAATATGTGAAATCAGGAATATCATGCATTTCCTAAATACAAGTATTTAATAACAATCTAGTCAATTTTTCGCGTTTTTACTGAACAAAGAGAGATGACTTTACAAATGTTTCAAAATATGCAAATGATGTGCAAATACTAGTATGCATGCATTTTATTAAAACAACACTCTTTAAGATATATTCTACAAGCTGACATTCGTCATCGATTAATTTGAGATTTTCCCTTATCACCTACATGGGGTTTTTGTCTCCCAATTGATTCGAAACACCAGAGCCTTCTCTACGTACGAACAATTTCTAAAACGAGGCAAGCTATTGATAAAGAAATTGATGAAGCAAGCATATCAATTGTAAAATCATTTTGCAAGTTCTTTTTCCGACACACTGGCCTTGTGATCAAACACAATCTAAATGTACCATCAAGTCGAATGCTGATTGACGTTTTTTCATACCAAATACGTATACCGGGGTATAAGACAATTATTTACACACTGAATTATCTACGGATTTTCCCGTTTACCCTACCATGACAAGGAGCGCACGGTGGTTGTGACCGGTCAGAAGGGATGATCACTACTCTGTCATCGGATCCAATCTAATTAAAATTAGATCTTTGATCCGCTCTAGTTTGATAGCTACACAAAGCAGCGATCAAACTGGAGCGGATCAAAGATCTGATTTTAATTAGATTGTCACCTGATCCCACTTCTGATGTTTTTGTGGTCCGTGTTTGCTCTGCTTCCAATCTGTATTGTTTTAATTTACTTTTGAGTTTGGATACTGTTCGAAATTTCTATGACATGCAAAACAAAACAATTGATTAAATGACAAACATTGTTCTATTCACCTGCTAACCATTAAATAGTTTCTTATTAGATCGCTAGCAGTAAGTTTCACTTAATGTCTTATGTTGAGATTTTTCATTTTTATAATGAAAAATGCATACATTATAATGTAAAAGAGTGTGTCTTTCTGTTGCTAACATAAATATACACGTATTTAATACTTTGCTGGGTATATAATGATCTTTATTTAATTGAAATAAAAAACAGAATGTCCATAGAAATATATCTCGTCCAAAATTTGATGGATAAATGGTTGGTGGTACTCTCTTCTGTTTCTCGGTTGTTATTTTGTAAACTGTTTTTCACTCTTTCGACTGTCATTCTGTAAACTTTTCTACACTTTTACGGGTGTCATTTCGTAAGCTGTTCTTCACTATTTCGGTTGTCATTTTGTAAACTGTTCTACACTCTTTCTTCCTGTAGTGAGGCCGGAGTGAATGCCATTGGTAATAGCTCTCCTACGGTGATCTTTTTGGATGTGTAGTCTGGTTTTACCATATAAAAATCCATGTTCAAGTTAAACTAAAAAAATAAGTATAAAAGTATTTGTAATGTGTTCAGAAAGTTTGGAAAGTAATGTTTTCAAGAGGCATACATTTATTAGCTACACAGAGTAATTAATGTATGCAGGAGGATTTTTGCTAGGAATTGAGGCTATTTTCACACTCTGTATGAATATACTAGTAATTTAAGCACTCTAATGTGTTTTGTCTGCTATGTGTCAGATTCCAGAGCAAAATTAGGTCAGAAAATGTCGGACAGGTAAGAACTGACACTTAAAATATAAACCAGGAGACTTTTTCCTCACCGGAGGTGAACTTATAAATGTGACCAGGTCTAACTACCTGTCATATATAAACAGCTGCTTGTCCTCTAGCCAGATGGACACCCTTAAAACAAACAGCATGTCAACTCAATGGGAGAGAAATATTTTTCTGACGTACAGTACATATTGCCTACTCAAAACGAGTTACTCGCCTCGTTAAAGTACCGTATATACTCCCCTATAAGTCTTTTTTTTGCGAGTTAAATTTTAGTCCAAAAGTCTATCTCCGACTTATAGGCGAGTCATAAAAGACTGTTATTTTTTTCTGGACGGTGAAACGTAGTATTCTAGAAAAATTTTCAGCAGTTATCGGTGAGCAAAGTTGAATTTATTACATCATGTTTGTATTCTAAGATTACACATTAATCACAAGACAGATTGGTATTAATTTATACAGTACATGTATTTAATAATTTTAATTTTTTTGAATCTTAAGAAGGCATTATCTATTTTTTCATTGATTCAAAGTTCGAAAAACGACCCTCATTTCTAAAAAATAAAATTGAAACAAGGTTAAAACATCAGAGCATTTATTTGAAATTGCATGTCGTCTGATTCTAGCAAAAAAGTGGCATCGACTTATAAAAGCGGGTCAATGGCAAATCCCTGCAAATTAATCTAAAAATTACAATCGACTTATAGGCGAATATATACGGTATTTTGCATTTCCATGATAATTCTAGAGAGAAAGAAAACTGATTGTAAAACTATGACTAGTATGTTATATAATGCAAATCTTCTTTGAAGATATGCCGTTTTTATAAGATATATATATATCTATTTTATACAGATAAAAATATAAACATTAATAGAATGTCTTTCTTCGTTAGTCTGGGGATAATGATTTGTCATTGCAGAAAAAATTATATAAGTCCAGTACGTATTATGTATGGTTTCGTTCCACAAAGATCGCACTCTTTTGATCTTTAGACAATACCGGTAGCTATTTTTCAACAATGAAAAAATGTGAGGAAAACGAACACTTTAATCTTTTTTAATCTATAAAACAAAAATCCATGAAAAGAGGAACAAAATACAAGAACCTCCGGAAGTTATAGAGGTGATATCAAGTGCCAAGAAGGAGTAAGCATCTCCTATCGAACAGTCACATCCGCGGTGAGTCTTTTGTAAAATAAGAAAGAAGGAAAATCCCGTAGTCATATTAAGCATAAAACATATCTTTATGTAACGTAAGCAAAAGTACAGCACAATGATATATATAACTTGCCATCAAGGTTATTATATCGATTATAAAATGTACAAATTGCAGACTTTAAACAATGTTTTGAAATCTCTGTAACATCAACTTTTCTCTCCGCAGTCTGCCTGTATTAAACAAGAGGCCCATGGGCCACATCGCTCACCTGAGCACTGTGGCTAGGAAAAAGTAGAAATTGGTTTATTATTGAAAAATTTAAATCCAAAAGTTGTCCCATGACCAATCATGGATTTGCTATTCTTGAGAAGATGATTGTTAAAGAATTTTCCTATATATTTCTATGTAAAACTTTGGTCGACAATTGTGGCCCCGCCCTACCCCAGGGGTCATGATTTGAACAAACTTGAATCTACACACCCTGAGGATGCTTTCATATGAATATGATGAATTATGGCTTTGGAATTCTTAAGAAATAGATTTTTAAAAAGTTTTGCTATATATTTCTATATAAAACTTTGGTCGGTCATTGTGGCCCCGCCCTACCCCGAGGGTCATGGTTTGAACAAACTTAAGTCTCAATTACCTAAGGATGCTTCCATATAAATATGATGAATTATGGCTTTGCTATTCTTGAGAAGAAGATTTTTTAAAGAATTTTCCTACATATTTCTATAGTCTCCTTTGGTTGGCCATTTTGGCCCCGCCCTATCCCCGGGGATCATGATTTGAACAAAATTGAATCTACACTACCTGAGGATGCTTCCATATAAATATGATCAATTATGGCTTTGTCATTCTTGAGAAGAAGATTTTTAAAGAATTCTCCTATATATTTCTATGTAAAAACTTTGGTCGGCCATTGTGGCCCCGGCCTACCCCCGGGGATCATGATTTGAACAAAATTGAATCTACACTACCTGAGGATGCTTCCATATAAATATGATCAATTATGGCTTTGTCATTCTTGAGAAGATTTTTAAAGAATTTTTCTATATATTTCTATGTAAAACTTTGGTCGGCCATTGTGGCCCCGGCCTACCCCCGGGGGTCATGATTTGAACAAACTTGAATCTACACTACCTGAGGATGCTTCAATATAAATATGATGAATCATGGCTTTGTCATTCTTGAGAAGAAGATTTTTAAAGAATTTTTCTATATATTTCTATGTAAAACTTTGGTCGGCCATTGTGGCCCCGCCCTGCCCCCAGGGGTCATGATTTGAACAAATTTGAATCTACACTTCCTGAGGATGTTTTCCCATAAGTTTCATCTTTCCTGGTGCAGTGGTTCTTGAGAAGAAGATTTTTAAAACATGCCACCAAATTTTCATTAATTTCCAATTATCTCCCCTTGAATGAGGGTGAGGCCCTTCATTTGAACAAATTTGAATCTCCTTCACCCAAGGATGCTTTGTGGCAAGTTTGGTTGAAATTGGCCAAGTGGTACTTGAGAAGAAGTCGAAAATGTGAAAAGTTTACAGACAGACAGACGGACGCCGGACAAAATGTGATCAGAAAAGCTCACTTGAGCCTTCGGCTCAGGTGAGCTAAAAAAGAGGCTTGATCGTTTTAAAGCGTCCACTCGAGTATCTAGAAGTTAGGAGATGTCAACATCTACGCGGATTATAGCAGAATAATAAAGAAAAAACATAAACTTTAAAAAAAAGGATGTTGTCCTTATATCTAATTGAAAACGAATTAAATTTCTAAACTTAAATTTAGATGTTTTGAATTACATTATTGATAATGTGTGTATGTGTGTGTGTTTTTACATGCAAAAAACTAATGATGAAAGTGCACACAGTCATTACACAGGATTTACGCCAGTATTTATGGTTATGACATGAAAGAGTTCAGGGTAAAATAAACAAAAAAAGCTACACAGTTACGCAATATCTCGTTTAATTAATCAAGTTAATGAGCACATTACTCTCTACAAGATATCTTTCCGGTATATTAAATCAGCCGTTCGGGTTGAGACCTTAATACATACATAGGTCATTAGCTTAGGGATAGCCATTTTTAAATATGTTGCAATACGAATAACAAATTATTATTTACTCACAAAAGTTCCTCCTTTCGTCACCAATCCTTCTTTCTTACCTCAGCGAATACCTGTCGACAGGCCCCGCAAGGCGCTTTAAAAGAATCTTTGATGTCACTGCCAAATATGAAATAATTTCTAAAAAAAACGTTCATTTGCAATTCTAGAAAACTAGGGGGTAAGGAAAAACAAATTTTACCCAATACTGCTTAAAATAATAATAATTATCATATTATATTATTACAATTTTCCATATTTAAAATCTATTTTTTGAATATAAAATCAAAAAGAAAAAAATGTCTTACCAACAAACAGCCATGGCCTTGAATTCTTTGTGACCTTGTGACACTGCGTTCATAATGGCAACGCGCTCCGCACAAACACAGAGTCCATAGGAGGCGTTCTCTACGTTAACACCTGTATTGCAGATATGGAATACAATATTATCATACTATAAAATCAGTAAATATCAGCTTGGGTCAATCTCTATTATTAATTTTACTTACCAGTAAAAATCTGGTCGTTAGAGGTCAAGATGGCTGCACCCACATGAAAATTACTATATGGACAGTAAGCTTTATCTTTCACTTTCACGGCGGCTTTTACCAAATCGTTGTAAGGAGATTCTAGATTGCATAAACCAGTGTATTTCATTTCAATTAAAGTTAAGGAAATATGCATGCTGATATATACGGAAGCCCATAGAGGACCTATCGAAAAATATTTTTGAATCCGATATAACGAATTGTCGAATTTGTTATTACGGATTTAATTCGTTATAACAATTTCTTTGAATTTAATCTGTTATAACAAATTTATTGATTTCGTTATAACGAATTCAAAAATTTGTTAATACGAATTAATCTCGTTTAAACAGATTCTAAAACTGAATTCAATTAAACGAATTCCATAAATTGTTATAACGAATTAAATTTGTTAAAACGAATTCGACAAATCGTAATATCGAATTCATATATATTTTTTACGGAAGCCCATTTAGGACCTATCAAAAAATATTTTTGAATTCGTTATAACGATTTTTTTAGAATTCGTTATAACGAATTAAATTTGTTATAACAGATTTATTGAATTCGTTATAACGAATTTAATTTATTTTAACAGATTTATTAAATTCGTAATAAAGAATTTAATTTGTTATAACAGATTCATTGAATTCGTTATTACGAATTTAATCTGTTATTACAGATTTGTTGAATTCGTTATAACGAATTTAATCTGTTATTACAGATTTGTTGAATTCGTTATAACGAATTTAATCTGTTATTACAGATTTGTTGAATTCGTTATAACCAAATTCGTTGAATTAGTTATAACGAAATCAACAAATCTGTAATAACAGATTAAATTCGTTATAACGAATTCAATAAATCTGTAATAACAAATTAAATTCGTTATAACGAATTCAATGAATCTGTAATAACAAATTAAATTCGTTATAACGTATTTTAAAAGGCTGTAATAACAAATTAAATTCGTTATAACGAATTCTAAAAGGCTGTTAAAACAAATTAAATTCGTTATAACGAATTCTAAAAATTTGTTATAACGAATTCTAAATTCGTTATAACGAATTCAAAAATATTTTTGATAGGTCCTAAATGGGCTTCCGTAATTTTTCTATAGACCCTGATTATTGAATTCGATCAAACGAATTTAATTCGTTTTAACAAACTTTGGAATTTGTTTTAACGAATTCAATTTGTTATAACAAACTTAAGAAATTGTTTAAACGAATTTAATTTGTTATAACAAATTTTTGAATTCGTTTTAACGAATTTAATTCGCTATAACAAATTAAAGAATTCGTTATAATGAATTCAACAAATTTGTTATAACAGATTAAAATCGTTATAACAAATTCATGGAAATTATTATAACGAACTAAATTCGTTATAACAAATTCGACAATTCGTTATATCGGATTCAATAATATTTTTCGATAGGCCCTAAATGGACTTCCGTAGATATAAGCCCTTCTAGGACCATCTAGGACCTATTAAAATATTTTTTAATTCGATAAAACGAATTGTCGAATTTGTTATAAGAAATTTAATTCGTTAAAACAATTTCTTTGAATTCGTTATAATGAATTTAATCTGTTATAACAAATTTGTTGAATTTGTTTAAAGGAATTGGATTTGTTATAGCAAATTTACCGAAGCCCATTTAGGACCTATCGAAAAATATTGAATCCAATATAACGAATTGTTGAATTTGTTATAACGAATTAAATTCGTTATAACAATTTCTTTGAATTCGTTATAATGAATTTAACCTGTTATAACAAATTTGTTGATTTCGTTATAACGAATTCAAAAAATTGTTAATACGAATTAAACTCGTTTTTACGGATTCTAAAACTTGTTATAACGAATTAAATTCAATTAAACAAATTCCATAATTTGTTATAACGAATTAAATTCGTTAAAACGAATTCGAGAAATCGTAATATCGAATTCATATTTGTTTTTCTATAGACACAGATTATTGAATTCGATCAAACGAATTTAATTCGTTATAACAAACTTTGGAATTTGTTTTAACGAATTCAATTTGTTATAACAAACTTAAGAATTTGTTTAAACGAATTTAATTTGTTTTAACAAATTCTTAATTCGTTTTAACGAATTTAATTCGTTATAACAAAATAAAGAATTCGTTAAAATGAATTCAACAAATTTGATATAACAGATTAAAATCGTTATAACAAATTCATAGAAATTGTTATAACGAATTAAATTCGTTATAACAAATTCAACAATTCGTTATATCGGATTCAATAATATATTTCGATAGGTCCTAAGTGGGCTTCCGTACAAATTTTAGAATTCGTTTTATCGTTTTTAATTTGTTATAACAAACGCATTTGTTATAACGAATTCCACAAATTTGTAATAACGAATTCAAAGAAATTGTAGCAACGAATTAAATTGGTTATAACAAATTCGACGATTCGTTTTATAAAAAAGATTTTTGATAGGTCCTAAATGGGCTTCCGTAGATATACAAATAGAATTTCAAATTTATTCGCATATGAACATTCTTTGATGACAAAATTCAATGCATCTAAACATAGCCGCAGAACTGGCTTGTCTGTCTCAATCACAGAGCTACAATTCTGAAGCTAATCAAAACACTTACAGTTTACAATTTAGCCACATTTATTTGTTTTCGAATTATTTGTAAATATTAATTGTAAATATCTTATTATTTTCCGCCGCAGTGTGTATAACTTCCAAATTGACATTTTAAAAAAACCAAGTTGCATGCAACTGACATAATCTTGTAGAAAATAACTAAGGCTAGAAATAATACAATGTAACTTCATCGTTGTTCAAAGCTATTAATTTCCATTGTGTAGGAACTTAATTAATTTAGAATGCCAACAATGTAAAAATTCTTTGTACAAAATATTTACCTAAATTGTCCACATTCATGATGAAGGTCACGTGTAGTGAATCTTCTGAATTTTAATGTCTGTCAGGTGTTATCTTTTATCGGCCGGTTGACACAGTTTATTCGAGTACCAGTAAGGTAACCGGTCTAGCACCAAAATTTAAGGTAATATAGGATACCTTCATTTTATGATGTACTTCCGTTTGAAGTATTTTGTTTTGATTGAATACATTTTATCGAGTCCAAATTACACAGATACACCGTTAAAAAAAAACAATATTTTACAGCACGGTTTCACAGCTTGAGAGTTTGTTTGTGTAAAAATATACCACTTTGCGTGCAGCGAGGCATGGACAATGGCGATTATTTCATATTTTGTCGAATTATGTCCAATGCATTCTCGTCTTAACGAGAACTCAGAAGTTTTCTTTGGTTTAAATTTCTTTAGTAACTATTTGGTCACATATTGTCCCAAAACTTTACGCACTTGCAATACTAGTATCTCTGAAGAACACACATTTGTTAAAGCATTCTGTTTCAAAAAGATTAGAATACTATCACTGCAAACAAGTGCATTATATTTTTTTCATTTTTTTTGGCAAGTTTTAAAAAGCAAAATGTCCATATTTTCTACATTAACAAACAGGGTACTTGGTATTTCAACCCTTGGAAAATAAGGAAAGATACCCTTTGAAGCTCAGAATTCCATTAAACAAAACAAATTTTGGAACAGAGCAAACATGGACCAATGTTGCACCACTATTGAAATACGATCACTATTGAAATAATAATTTCAATAGTGGTCGTTATTTCAATAGTAGTTGCTACAGACCTCTAAAACATCAGAGGTGGGATCAGGTGAAATGGAGGAGTGAGAATTCTCTGCCGACCGTGTGGCGCAAAATGAAAAAGATGCATTTAAAGAAATTACGTTTAAAAAAAAGGAGGTTTTGAAAAATCAAAGGGGTGGGGGATAAAAAAAAATTAATTTTTGACCAGCTTTTTTTTTTGACCTTTCGTTTTTCTGTCCAGACACCTGAACCAAATTTCATGATTTTATACCTTTTTTGACACGTCAAATATTTTAAAATCTTGAAAAACGCTTGAAGAACGTTCGAAATTCGGACTATCGTCGTTGAGAAAAAACATATACGACCTTTCATTTATAAAATTTCCATCAAACTGTAATGTTGCTCCAAGGGTGTGCTGCATAAGAATATTCTACGTAATACAGTGCATGTATTCCATTTATCATGGAATGTTGTTAATTTCTAGAGACTGGCAAGATATAATGCATTTATACAGGGGATATTAAATGAAAGCAATAAAAGCCTCTGAAGTATTTTCCTGACACGTCGAATTAATTCCTTGAGAATAAATCAGCAAGTTAAGGTATTTGCTTCAACTGATTCTCTTGGCGTAAGTTTTATAAGCATTTAGTTGTCTGTTTTATGTTGCACAAAAAATGATTTCAAGTTGTCCATTTTATAACGATGTATATATTGATAATATACGAAAGCACATTAAAATCAAGTTTTAAAATGCACTATCTTGTAATTACGAGAAAATTATCTGCACACACTATAAATAGAATTAAAAAATGTTAATCTAGTAAGTGGAAAATGTACTCGGTTAATAATTCATCAGAACATGCTTTTACCTTTTATCCGTTTAGCATAAAGAGTTGTTCTTCTTTATATATATAATCTTTCCCTTGGCTTATCATAGATAGAAATGAAATATATGCACATGACGAACAGTATCAGAGCTCAAAAGTGTATTTAACATTACAAAATAACAGCGAAACAAACACGGACCTTCAAAACATCAGAGGAGGGATCAGGTCCCATGGATGAGTTAGCATTCCATGCCGACCGCTCACACCTGCCGTGCTCTCTTTGTCATTATCTGGATATAATGGGAAAATCCTTGGACAACTCAGTATGTAAATAATGATCTAACAATCAGTATGAAAAAAGTCAGTCAGCATTTGACCAAATGATAAATTGTATTTACTGACAAAATTATTGTATCTACCATAGAACTTACAAAATGATGACTTTAAACGAGACTGGTAATATTCTTGCTTCATTAATTTGTTAGTCAGTAACTTAACTCGTATAAAAAATTGTTCATACGTAGAGCATGATCTTCCGTATCGAATAAACTGAGAGATAAAAACCCCGTATCCAGGTGACAAAGATATAAACCTTTTATACATATATTGCTGCATAAGAAGGGAAGTTGACGATTTAAAAGTTAAAGTCATCACGTTTATAATAAAGCTTTGTTGTTAGGTATTAACCTACATTTCTAGTAAAATATCCAAGTATGAAACAGATGTGTCAGACTCTGTGGTATCTTTTATTTCAAGCTCACTGGGATATAAGAATTGAAAATGACTCGACTCAAGCTGCGTCAATATAGAAAAACGTACACCAAAATCGACAGAGTCCTTCAATAGCTGACACTTACCTGAATGAGATAATTAGGCCGGGGGGTGTTAGAGCTTTACTACCATTGAGGTAACAATTCAGAATTTCATTTCGAAGGTCATTGGTATCGGATATCAAGAACTACAGCATTGCGCCTTTGCTCGTGTCTGTCTTAGCACAAAAACTTATTCATGGGTGACAAACGTCCAAACGTCTCAAAGGAAAACATTACGGTATCATAAATGATGATAGAATTACTCCATTTTGGAGAGTTAATTTCTATATTTTTTTAAAACAGGTTTAAAAACTAGAGGTGCTTTGAGCACTGAATTTACTCTGGGGGAAATGGGTTTCAGATCAAAAGATAAAGTAGGAAGGCACAAAGGCATTATGCAATCAAAAGGCTGTGAAAGTATTATATAAAATTTATTCGGTGGTTGTGGAGTTGTGGATAAGAGATAGGTACCACTCAATATTATATAAAGAATTGCAGTGTCAATATTTTGCTCTCGGATACCCGAAATATGTGTACGATCAAAAAGTAAAATAGTAGGTCACAATAGTACTATGTAACAAATATTCTGTGAAAGTCTCAATAAATTTCATTCAGTGGTGTACGAGGAGTTGTGGATAAGAGATTAGTAATCCAAAGCGTAACAGACGGGCGAACAGACAGACGGACCTCTCGATCACTATATACACTTCCATTTCCCAAGCGGGCCAAGCGGGGTATAACAAGAACAGGAAATTTTTTTTATGTAGAAAATTACACAGATTCCTTAGCCATATTTTGTTCAAAAATAAACGCCATAATATCCTCGTCATTTCAAGGTCTTTTTTCAATTTTATTTTACTAAAACTTATAGACTTTGGTAGAAATGGGAACTCCTTTCCCTCGCAATATCGACGCTTAAACACAATATAAAATAGATTGCATCTCGACACATCAATGTCATCCATTATCAGTTCTAAAAGAAGCTGGATGGTTTAATGCACTGAAAAATGTACAGTAATACTACTGTAAAAATAAAAATTGTTTATAAAAACTTGAAGTGTTTATGTTTAATAGGTAATGGAAAGTTCACCACATCGATATTTTTGACAAAATAAGTGCTTCTGTAAATACATTCTGGGAGAAACCATTTTAGTAACCATGATTAATCACATTGCAATACGGAACTTCCGAGATACGTATCCGATCCGGGTTGTATGCTTTGTTTGTGTCAATTGTTAGGCATACTCACTTCCGGTTTACAGAAAAATGGCATCAACTCCGCTGAACGATTTCGATTCCTGGCAAGTACCTGATCTAAAGCATTTTCTATCAACGAAGGGAATTACATGTTCCATCTATCTGAAGAGACATCTTATTAAATTATGTAAATTGGCGGTAGAAATCAATTTAGAAGATCTAGACGTAAACAATAATGACTTTGGTGCTTTCGACGTGCAACGCCGAACAGTAAATAAAGTTGTGTTACCACACATTAAGGATATTTCTGTCGATAAATGGTCATCAGATTTGAAAACATTACCTGACATAGAGATAGGAGATGTTATGGTGTGGCTTCTCCGTGTAGGATGGGACCCCCCACGTTTGAAAATGTATAAACAGGACAATGGCTACAAACTGTATACCAGTTCACATGTTGACAATGTCAGACTTCATTATTTTGAAAATGTAGCATGCTTCTATATTAAGTGTCAGACAGTCCCAGAAACCAGGCAACAGGCAGCACCCTACCAGACATGGATTCTCGTCAATGAGGGTGGACAAGTACAGTCAGGTGGATGCTCGTGTGTTGCGTAAGAATCATTTATACTTTATTGAAATGGTTACTTGAATACTAAACTGTAGAAGATTATTTGAATTCTTGAAATATATTCATTTATTTCTTCGATATTAATAAATTTAAAAATTATATTCTTTTTTTATTAATTACAGAAATGATGGTTCGTGCAAACACTGTACAGCACTTCTTTTTTCCCTTTGTTCATTCAATGAAAGACACAAAGACAGACACACACTAGTCGGAACTGATGTCTTATGCTCATGGGATAAACCACGCTCTGCATCACGACCTGAAAAAATTCAGAATGTACAGGTTCACAACTCCAATTCGACAGCTGAAAATGATCAACACGGCCCTTGTCATACTGTATACAACCCTTGTAAAGGTCTTCAGAATGAACGTGAGATTGAAAAAAAATTATTTGATATGTGCAAGGACTCTAATTCACTTTTACTAGAAACACTTGACCCACCATCTGATTATGAAGATACTAGTGAGGATATTCCAGGATTACATGAAGTAATCAAAGAGGCAAGTCTAAAGAATATTTCTGTAACTTCACATTTACAAGCTGTATTTAATCCAGAAACCATCTTGAGAATAGCAGATATAACCAAGGATCAGAGTACAGGTATATGTGATGAATGGAAAAGACACAGACATGGACGTATAACTGCATCTGTTTTCTCAAAAGTGTTGCATTTTCGAGGATCAAAATCTTATGAAAATTACATTGTACGAGAAATAATGCAACTGGGGAGTGACATATCAAATGTTCCAGCAATTGCATATGGAAGAGAGAATGAAGCTGTGGCTAGACAGTTGTACTTTGATGAATACAAGAAAGGACATAAGTGTGCAAAATTGAATAACATTGGATTTCACATTTTCACCGAAAAACCGTACATGGGAGCAACTCCAGATGGTTTAATAATGTGTAAATGTTGTGGTAAAGGACTTATAGAAATAAAATGTTCTTATTCTCATCAAAATGAAACGCCATATGATATTGCAGGTGACTCTTCATACCATTTATACAGAGATGAAAGCAATGGTAGTGTACATCTTCGCCATGACTCACCATGGTTTATCCAGATTCAGGGACAATTAGGTATTCTTTCCCTTCCATGGTGCGATTTTGTTTTTTATACCAAACGAGGATTACTTACTGACAGGATTTATTTTGATTGTGACATTTTTAATTCTATTGTACAAAAGTGTACACTTTTCTTTGAAAGGTACCTTCATAATGCTTTGCTATCACAGTGAAATAAAAACGCATACAGGACAAACAAATCTGTGCATCATTGACATGATAATTCAGTATTTTTTTCACTGTATTCAAATACACAAGACAGGTTTATTCTGTATGGTTTGTATTTAATATTTTTCACATTTACATTTTCTCCGATACTTGTGAGGAAAATAAAAACATAAAGTTTATGAATCAAATTCAGTAAAATGAGGTTAAATGTACTAGGTCATAGAGACTTCAATTTTTACTCCCTTCATCAAGTGTTCATAGTGCAGATGCCAATTTTTTTCAGGATTCTTTGATATTTATAACGAGAAAGTTCATTATAATTGAGTTTTACAGCATCAAAACATTGAATTTTCATCTTGTGTTTTAACAATAATCCTGTACACATTCTGATAATCTATAAATTTAGAAAAAAATTAATAGCTTGTTATTATTCATATTTATTGTTCACCATATTTTCAGATATAGCAAGACAGCATAACATGATTTGAAGTGAGAATGCATACATAACATGATTGATATTTTTTCACTCTGATGCCTTTTACAACTCCACATTCTGATGGTTTTATTACATCTCCACATCAAAAATAACTTGCTTGAACAGAAATGAATATAAATATGTTACAATAGCTTTTTGTATTTTGATTGGCTCTCTTTTCCATCTTTAAAAATATCAGATGTAAGAAAAATTGTTAATATAAATTAGTTTTATGTCATGTACATGTAAACTTGCATCAACATCTTTGTAAAGGAATGTAGAATCAAAACATTGTACACTACATTAGAATATGTTTTAAAGAAATTATCAGCAGTCAAAGAATGTATTTTAAATCAATAGCTATTATCCAAGTTAACAAGGTAAATGCAAGGAAAAAAAGTTGGTTCTCTTGTAAAATTATGAATGGAAAATGCACATTTTTTTTTTACTTTTTAACAAGTGGAGAATCAATGTTGCACAGAAAAGCAGCTACAACCAAAATTTGATCTGCGATTGGTTTCAAGGTTAAAGGCATTATACCCGATAAAATTCGATAGGTCTTAAGTCGTTGAATGGCTCTTTCAACGTGAATGCGAAGTCTTGCAATTTGTCTTGTTTGTCTGATTTGTGTAGGTGATAGTGTCTTGCCCTTGCCCCAAGCACATTTCTGAGTGAACGGTGGAATCACTAATTTTGCTCTCCGTTCCAGCAAGTAATCTCTTATAACAAAACCACGATCTGCCATCACCTCGTCACCTGGTGAAATTTTATCAAGAAAACCACTGTTTGCTGTTATAAATCTATCGGATACATTTCCTCCCCAAAATTCGGATATAAAGGAAAATGCTCCAGATGGAGTTATGCCCACTAGTGCTTTAAAAGTATTATGATTCTTATAGTTACTGTATGTCTGGCTTTGAGCTGTTGGACTTCTAGGTTTCTGGATGAATACCTCAGTACAGTCGATAATTACACGAGTATTAGGAAATGATGCCTTAAATGATCTGGGCATAAATTTCCGTATTTTCTGCATGGATGGCCATTTAATCTGAGGAGCAAACACTCGATACATGTAGTTTATCCAAGTATTGAAGATTTGGGACACACGACTCTCCGATATTCCAAAAATATCCTTAAGAATACCTATGTTTAAATCCTGACGAATTCTAAGTAGCGTAAGAAGGTACTCGTGGAACATTGTGAGCTTTCTCTCAGGACCAGGTTTTCTAGCATTGCCCTCTTCATAGCGCTTTTCATCTATGCTATCTTTGCCAGACCAATATTTGAGTTTCTTGCATGCATTTTCAAGTATGCCTATAAAAAAACAATGCAGCCTTTCATTATGGTTACTGTTCATAATGTAAATTATCACATCCTGGAAGAAAGTTTTGTTATTACTTTCATCAACACTTGAAAATTTATTGTATTTACACGCGAATGTTAAATGAATTTTATTGCAATAAATACTTACTGAATAGACCAAAAAGTATAGAAATACTGGGTAACCCAAAATATCTTCTGACTGATGCATCAGAGCTTGTGGCTTTATGAACAAACATTTCACGCAAAACATTCCCTTTGGAATAACTGGCACTCTCTGTCTCCATGATGTTTATATCATGTACGGAAAGATCTGTTTGGACTTCTGCATTACTGTACTCTGGGTACTTTCTGTGTGCAGTACTGTATTCATGATCTGTGTGCAGTTCTAAAATTTGTAAAAGTACATAAACTATTTATGTAGAATACCATTATACCAATAAAAACAAGAATCTCAAAGTTAACTTGCATGCATTACATGTATTACCATAATATGTTAAGCTAAATTTTGGAAATTCATAAAGGACATCAAAATTAATGCCCATACTTTGTTTGATTTTAGTTGCTATTTTCCCATGCTTCACTTCTGCATTCTCCTCATTCACTATGGTGGTACTGACTGTGCACTCGCTATGTACGGGCAAAGGGATTACACTTCCATCATGAAGTACAGTGACACCCTAAAAAAAATCAACATAGAAACATACTCATAGAAAATATTAATGTTAAAAGATGACACGAATACTCTTTATCAAATAAAAATCTAATCTGCAAATTTCATGGTCTGTATACATGTAGGTTGAAAATGTGAATTATGTACATGTACTTTCTAAATAAATCTAGGCAGTTCTTACTATGTACATAGAGTAGATTATTACACACCATTGTTGAAACCTGAGGTTGGCAATCTGCAGTATTATTGTTGAGATCCTTCAGAATCTCCCTTTTGTCAATGGATTTCCTGCTTCTCTTCAAAGGTGGGCCTTCTCCAAAGTTATTTCGAGGAAACAAGGTAGGTACTGGATGCTGTTCCGATGGACAGCCATCAACGAAATGTAAGGAACACACTCTGTGATGCCTTCCAGGATCATATTTTTCTTCGCGAAAAATCTGATTGAGCCACCTGCCGAAAAGGAAAAAAACTACATGTATTCAATTTAATGTTTACTACATCAAAAAACCAATTCAATTAATTATGTCACTTTTGTTTTGAACATGCACTGTAAACAATGACTTTCTAAACAACTATTAAATACTACATTCAGATTCTTATTCTGTTTGATATGAGTCACAAGATTTATACACCAGGTAAACACATGTACAAGTACCATGTCAGTGTGGAAGTTCTTTTAAAAATATTAGAGTGCATGTATATTTATATAAATTCTATCAACTTCAAGGGTCTCTATGTGTACAGACACATGAATTTTCAACAATAAATTGCATTAAGTACTGCCCTCAATAAAAAATCTACTCCTCAATATATAAAAACACATATTCATGTATGTACATACTATAACCAATATAAGGAAGTTTTGCGTGTGTGTTTTTTTTTAATAGTTCATGCAGGGCTTTTATTTCAATTTACTGTCAAACAATCAGGTGCCTGTGGTGCATTTTTTGGTCGTCAACAGTGAATTAAAACGTGTACTGATTAAAAAAACACAAAGTCAAACAATATTTAACTACATAATCAACCAACCTGCGTCGCAGCGAAGGATTGCGATGCGGTCCTGGGTAGGCATGAAATGTCACACCTTTCATCCATGGATAGGCAGCTAAATTGGCTTTCTTCCGACCATCGGCAGTACAGCCAGGTACAGAGCACCAATATGAACTGGGTTCATCCGCTGATTTCTGTGTCTGCGTCCTTTCTTTTCCCATTCAAATCGCATTAGCGCGCGTCTGCTAACTTTCACTTTCTCGATGAGATTGCCTAACAATTTGTGCATTATCACGTGACAGAGATTCTAATTACTGAACCAAAAACGACCGTAACTACATATCTCGGAAGTTCCGTATTGGTTTGCTTTCAGGGGCACTAGGGAAGGTGACTTGGTACAAATTTTACTTTTAATGTTCATGAATTTCAAGTTGCATGATAATATGATACAAATACTAACTCTTCTGTGCTACACGCAATGAGTTTTCAAACATAGCGATAAACCCCTCTTAATTTAAGGACGCAATACAATCCATCACTTTTCTTTCAGCTCTTGTCTGATTCAAAGAACAGTCCTCGCAAGGTCGTGTTTTATTTGAAGATGCAGAACATGCATATAAGCATACACTGAATCACAGAGAACATTTAGCCTGGACTGCATTAATGTTCCCTTAATAATTATTGCCAAGGCATCCTATAAACAACAGTTACTTACATTCAGATGACGATTTGATACATCCCAATGAACTTGAAATGAAATATAAAACATAGAGTCTATCTGAAACAACTGATTAACATAATGTGGATATTTTACAATAAAAAGACAGCGTTGGTAAGAAATCAACAAAAATTGATGATAAACGTGATGAAGTTATCTTTTCGTTCATCAACTTCCGTTTCTTATACAGCATTATACCCATATCACCTGTGTATGGAGTTTAGCTGATTTGAAACTCAAAAGCATACTTAACATTCGGACAATTTCTAAAACGAGGTAAGTTTTTGACAAAGAACAAGATTATCAACAGTCTTGTTTCAGGTCATTACTAGTACTACACAAGTTCTATATTCTATACAATGACAGCATACCTGTAAATAATCTATCATTAACTCGAATTCTGACACGCTTTATACTAATTGTTAGATCATAATTTACACATCAGTCTGAATTGTCATGAGGATTTTTCCTGTATTCCCGAAGATGATAATGTGCACACGTGTGTAACCGGTTAACAGGGGATGTCTACTCCTCCATGGCACCTGATCACACCATCTATGTTTTAGAGGTCTATATCTGTTCTCCACCTATTGTTATTGTTTAAGGTAGAGACCGATAGCAATCACGTGATAGAAAGAATTCGCATATTTGCACGTGCTTTTTTTCCGGATTCCGGAACGCCGTCAAATAAAAGTCTCCATTTACACATTATTGTCTATGCTACAAGATGGCCGACGAAGCTATCGAGAAATATCCTCTATTTCAAAGACAAATTTGCCCTACATATTAAATCTTTACAGTTCTCGAAATTGAAGCATCTTCATGAGAATCAAAATAGAAGTGAGACTGAAACCGACCAAGAACATAATTTTGATGAAACTACTCCTTGTCCAGTGCCCACTGCAGTATCACGTGGGTACACCGGTATCGATCTGTGCTTGATGTTGTTTTCTGTTTAGACATTTTAAAGACCATGACCCTACAGATGTTAATTGGTATGACGGAAGAAGAAAAAAATTTGCAGAACAGATTTTTTGTATGCTGTGTCCGTGTCAGGTACGTAAGGTGAATATTTACGACTTAGTATATGGATCATGACTAGGCCTATGGTGCTTGTTTGTTTACGCACAGGTCTGGTACAACCAGTATATTTAGCTTCAATTACCAATAACCTTCATAGATTTTTTTACCTTCCTAAAGTAGTTTTATTTAGCTAAAAATTAAAACTTATTTCATGACCAGACTGTAACTTCTACATGTAGAATAGAAGAATAAAACCAGACATCTCAGAACATGATAAAGGCCGGATTGGTAAAAAATGTAAAGTAATCATACTTATCTGTGCCTAACACACGAGGTGGTGTTTAGTTACTCAGATCAAAAAATGGAAAACCATATTTTGCTTAAATTGTTCAAATGCAGAAATGTGTAAACTTTCTCTGCTTTGGATGACAGGTGCTTTTTAATTATTATAACCCCTTTTATAAATGATAGTGGACATTTACTTGCGAAACTTTTGTCTTTTTGAAATAAAATGCAAATTGTAAAAAGTTGCATTGAAAAAAAAAAGAAACAGCTTTAGGATCAAGTGACAAAAAATAAGGTCAGTCTTGTAGCAGGAAACAATGCTTTTTTTTAGCCTTATGTAATATTTATGTACATGTAATAAATTTATGTATGTATTTTTTTAATGCTCAAAAGGGCCCTGATTATAAATAGATATCATATTCATAGATTATAAAAGAAATATTTAATACTACAGGTGAAGCAAGCTATGGACTAGACAGTGTATTCAGCTTTCTCTGCTGAAATAATGTGACCAAATCAAGTGTCACCTGGAAAGAGGAATGTCAATGGTGCTTTTTACATCACCTCCAAAATAGCCATTGGTTTGTATTTTTTCCTTTCAATTTACACTTGCACAGGTATAAGGGAAAATCTAGAATTTTTTTCAAGGGGGTGGTAAAAAGGAGGTGTTTTATAATACATGTATTAAAAAATTTGAATTTATGATTTTTAGTCCTTGTTAGCTCACCTCAACGAAGTTGGGGGAGCTTATGTAATACCCTCGGCGTCGGCGTCGGTGTCGGCGTCCACGTCGGCGTCCCAGGTTAAGGTTAAGTTTTTTGGAGCAGTTTTCTTTTTAAGTACTTCTATGTCCTATATTGATTAGACATGCCTGGAAGATGGTTCTAGTGTGTTTCATTGTATCAGTCAAAGTTTCAGATGCTGCAATTTCAGCAAAGGAATGACCAGGTTAATGTTTTCGGAGCAGGTTAACATTTTTGGTGCAGTTTTTGGTGTAGGTTTCATTTCCAAGTAACTATAATCCCTATGTTGACCAAACTTGCATGGATGATACATCTAAGGATGGATACTACTGGGCTTGCTTCGGATGCTGAATCTGACCTACATTTTCCGGTTGATGGAACAGGTTAAAGTTTTTGGTGTAGGTTTCATTTCCAAGTAACTATAATCCCTATGTTGACCAAACTTGCATGGATGATACATCTAAGGATGGATACTACTGGGCTTGCTTCGGATGCTGAATCTGACCTACATTTTCCGGTTGAGTGAACAGGTTAAAGTTTTTGGTGCAGGTTTCATTTCTAAGTAACTATAAGCCCTATGTTGACCAAACTTGCATGGATGATACATCTAAGGATGCATACTACCGGGCTTGCTTCAAATGCTGAATCTGACCTACATTTTCCGGTTGAGTGAACAGATTAAAGTTTTTGGTGCAGGTTTCAATTCCAAGTAACTATGAGCCCTATGTTGACCAAACTTGCATGGATGATACATCTAAGGATGCATACTACCGGGCTTGCTTCGGATGCTGAATCTGACCTACATTTTCCGGTTGAGTGAACAGGTTAAAGTATTTGGTGCATGTTTCATTTCCAAGTAACTATAAGCCCTATGTTGACCAAACTTGCATGGATGATACATCTAAGGATGCATACTACCGGGCTTGCTTCAAATGCTGAATCTGACCTACATTTTCCGGTTGAGTGAACAGATTAAAGTTTTTGGTGTAGGTTTCATTTCCAAGTAACTATAAGCCCTATGTTGACCAAACTTGCATGGATGATACATCTAAGGATGCACACTACCGGGCTTGCTTAGGATGCTGAATCTGACCTACATTTTCTGGTTGAGTGAACAGGTTAAAGTTTTCATCAAGAGAGGAAAATTCTCAAATTTGCTTCAGATGCTGGATTTTGATTACATTTTCATGAAGAAGAACTAGTTTAAATTTTTTATGTAGGTCTATTTCAAAGTATCAGATCAAAATTGCTTAAATATTTTCATTTTTGGAATGTACACTTTTTGTTGGTTAATTGTGTGAATTTGCCTTATTTAAAGACAACATTCGTTGAGGTGAGCTCTGTAATCTCTGATTACCTATGTTATTTTTAATGTAAACACCATAATGTACATACAGTATTATTGTATACATATAGAAGCATTTTCTTAAGTCAGTAATTTCTCAAAGATCATATAAATATTTCAGGAAAGTTCAAGCCAGATCTGCTACAGAAAACTGAACATAAAGTGGCATACTTTTGTGTCAGGAAATGAAGAACATGTATGGCTAGACTGAGAATCTAACTGGAGATCCCTGCATCACTACTTACATGTAGGTGCTCTATTGACTTAAATACATGTATGGTTAAATGCTTGTATATAAACATATAAAAAGGCATGTTGTAAATTGAATTCAAAACTGAATTACCAAAAAAATTGTAAAATGTAAAGATGTTTTCTAACTTGAATGAAATTGTTTGAACTAAAGCATCAAAGAATTGGTAATATGATAATATGAAGAAGTCAGTATTGTTAAAAAACTTGTAAGTGACATGGTTTTTTAACAATATTGACCTCTTCACATTATCATAGCTAAATTTGCAAAATAAATCAAAATTGTTAATAAGGCCACACCAATTTAATTTCTTCTTCGTCGGACATTTGATGAAAAAAGTACAAACGGGCTAGCGGTCAAATAATAATATTATTACTTTATTGTAGGCAAAATTTTTAGGCGGGGCATGAAAAAATTGGAGCGGAGAATTATATTTTTTCTGATTTGCAGAGTAAGTAGATTAAAAGTAGGATAAATAGAGCAGAAATGGAAAAGAAAACAGCACATAATTCCCATGGTGTGGGGATTTTAAATTAATATTATTTGTATGGATTCTTAGCTTGATTACGGTTTGTCATGTTTAATTCGAAAGCAGAATGGAAAACAAAAAAAAACCCATACACATTGTAAGTTAAGGATAAATACCACAAACATTTTGTAGAAATCAACAATATATCCATTAGATTCATTTTCAGACAGAAAACCTGAATCATGTTCTCAAAGTTATGAAATTGATAATAAAGATTTTGTAATAAGTCAATATGACATGTACGAAAGTTTGTATAGATTTGTGTAGAAAATGACAGATCATCGCAATATTTGAACACAAAAGAAATCCATAAACATGTTTGTATTTTAGAAATGTTTATTATGCCATTTCCATTCAATATCAGTCAAAATGAATATCAATCCATGCATCAAATATTTGTTTGTATTGTGTATTCTTAAAATATATACATCTTTTGTTCGTGTACATTGTACTTTGCATGTGCAACACTGCATTTCCAAAAATATGCAGTCATCTGAAATTCAAACATTTCATTTAAAAGTATATCTATCATAGAATGAATATGCGTTCAAGACCTCATCATTATTTAATACAATGTGTATAAATAAAATGCAAAATATTTGCATAAAATGTTTTATCATTGTGACCGTGTCAAAACATTGTAATTATGATTTCATCAAACATTTTGTTACAATGAAAATTAATGGCATGACAAAATGAAAATTGATGAAATGGCCAACCAATTGAATTGTTGATCGATAAATTCATTTCTCAGTTTAGTGCATCAATGTCGACAACATGTCAGTTTCTTAATAAATAGACTGAAAGAAGAGGATATGAGATCAAGTCTGGTCGTTGCGCTTTTCCAGTCCCTTCAAAATCAAGTCAGCAGTTTCGATAATGAATCCTATTAATACTCACTATTTACAGTATTCCAATCGAACACACTATGTATAGCTTATTCACAACGCTAACCATCCCATTCTGATCCCAATCACTGCACTTCAGCTGTCAGCTATATATCGCATTCGGAAGCAATTCGTTTCCATTCGTTGCATATTTGTCAAAGCTCGTTAAAGCGTGAATACTTTTGGCACATTCTCAGTGAAAATAAGATTCGTTGGTCACGTGTACATGTGAGTTGCCTGCCATATTGTGTTTCCTTAAGACGGTGTTTGAATTTCGAACTGAAAGTAAAATAAAATAAAAAGTTAGAATAACGAATTTCTAAACGTAACCAGCTTGTAAAAGTTTTAAATTAGATTTTTGTGCATCAGGGACTTTTTGTAAATTAAATGTTTTGTTCATAAAGTAGAGAAGATATACTAGTATCTTTTCCTGTCACTTCAAGAAAATTGAACAAAACTAATTAATATATATTGAATACATGTATTACTTTTCTGTGAGCTTCATGGTCTCAGTCTTCAATTGAAAATTAAGCTCAGTTCTTTTAATCAAAGAGAAAAATAATCTTAAGAAATTCTGAGTAACCTACCGTAAAATATTCTGAAAATCTTTCAATATTATTTAAACAGTTGACTAAAATTGTACAGAAATGACTTTTTTCATGCAAAGAAATTATAAATTTAATGTACATGAAATATATGGAGATAACAAACAGTATTCAAGGTCAAAAAACCATAAAACAATACAAATAGGAGCAGAGCAAACACGGACCTCCAAAACATCAGAGGTGGGACCAGGTGCCATGGAGGAGTGAGCATCCCCTGCTGAACGGTCATACACGCCGTGTACTCCTTGTCATGATCGGGAAATAACAGAAAAATTCATCGTAAATTCAGTGTATAAATAATGGACTAACAATCAGTATGAAAAAAGTCAGTCGGCATTTGACTCAATGATAAATTGTATTTGCTGCCAATGTCATTGTATCGACGTCCATTGTAATCTTTCAGAAAAATTTAGATCAGAAACCTTAACATTGGAATTATCAATTACAGTTGAATCTTCATACATGTAGCATATTAGAATTAAGCATTTAAAAAAGTGCGAAACTTAGTATATAATAGTTATAAAATCGACTGCATATAATGTTTATGAAAGACAATTTTTGTGGTGGAAGGGTTTTGAGGGGGTTTTATAATAAAATTCTGAAAATCCTTACTTTTGTTTATTCGAGACGTTGGGAATTTGGCCTTAAAGTTCCTATTCTTATATATTTATATTATTATTTACATGTAGACTTAAAATATTCAAATGATATTTAGAACATATGTCACATTTTTCAATTTATTATCCATAAACTGTAGTAATCTTGAGAATGTCAGAATATAATTAATCTGTGTGATCTTGAATTCTGTAAATCTTGACCCATCTCATAATTAACATCAGCGGTACACACTTCATTTTCAGAGACGATTCATATGTAGCCAAGCAGCAACAATTTCATTACAAGGCTTGATATAGACATTTTTTTATTGCCTGTTAAAATTTAATGAATACCCAATATAAGACATGTAACATGTATTTTCCAAGTCTTTTCGGATTTTGAGTCATGGTTTATGAATACACAAATTACCTGAAATTCCTTGATTTATAATTCATGTTAGAAGGGACATATAATTAAGAAATCAAGATTTTTACAAATTTTCTGTTGAAAAAAAGAAAAAAAAATACTGATAATTACTAACAAACTTTCAAACACTCTTTTAAGCATAAGGAATTTAAAAACGTCTTCGGATAATCAATGTTGTTCTAATTATGTGCTGACTTCCGTAGGTGGGTGATAAACGTTCTACAACCAATAACAATTAATTTCAAATCAGGAACCTAACGTGCGAGTTAACGATAATGAATATTTTATTAAGAACTGTGAAAGTATATCGATTGATATGTTCAGTGAATTAAGATAATTTTCCTTTTTTGCGAAATAAAAACGAAATGATCTTCCCCTGTAAATCAATCAATTACAGCACAGATTGCTTGTCTAGATTACGTTTATTGACTGATAGACATCTAGAACTGTATTGAACAAATCTCTGTGCTTGATTTCTTTTATATAACGAAGAAAAAAGAATCTTTCTCATAACAGACTTGTGTGAATTCATTTCATAAAAGTGCATAAACTGAACAATTTTACTTTCTCTTGATCCTTAGTTTTGTAACTAATAACAACAATCTTTGAGTTGAAGCGCCTTAACATGTTTTGCATGAAATATAGAGATAACGAATAGAAAGCAAACTCGGAACTCCTTAGAAACAATACAAATCGAAAACATAGCAAACACGGACCTCTAAAAACATCAAAGGCGGGACCAGGTGCCATTGGTGATCTGAAGGCTAGGGTTATTCTGCTGGGATTAGCTTAAGGTTAGTGATTAGCGGCAAGGGTTTGGGTTAGCATTATGGTATAATATTCATCCCCTGTTGACCGGTCTTATCTGTCGTGTTCTCCTTGTCATAGTGGGTAATCAAAAAAACAAGTTGCTGTCCTTTAAAAAAGGACTGCAATACGTGGACCATATGCATGTTTTTCTAACCGAAATTCAATTAAGAAATTTTCTAGGTGTAGTGAATATTCATGTAGGTTTGTTCACATTTTTCACAATGATCTGCCTACTTATGACTGATTGTAGTCTCAAAGCAAAGTTGTTAAATTTTATCTCCGATTAGCGGCCTAAAGTTTTGTCAGTTTCAAAAATCGGGCTATTTTGATTCATATGCATGTAACCGATAATGGCTGCGACTTGACATCTGTTCTGGATTTATGCGGAAGAAAAACAGAGATCTGATGATGGTTCACGTGTATCACAGCTCTGTAGCACGCAGAATTTTTTGTCCCCCCCCCCCCCCGCACACACACACATTAAAACCCGTTGCTATATATATACCTCTATCAAACGGTTTTGGATTGCTGAAAAAATGATGCACAAGACTTATGCCGATGAAAACTTCTATCTTTTAAAATCTAGAACTAGTCGTTGAATGACGTTTTTCATTCAAGTTGTTAAGTTACATGTATCTAAGTTCTTCCTACTTTTTAAAATGCTTGTATAATAGAATCAAAGTTTAGTTTGTATATAAAAGGTATATGACTGTATAAGAGGGAAATTCGGATCCGCCAATGACTATGTAAATGCGATATTCGGATCTAAAAGCGCGATTTGCAAATAATGGCATATTCTAATTCGAATAGGGCGAATTATTCTATGGGCAGGTTACCTAAGGTGCGAACTCTCCAGCATTCTCGCGCATGCGTAGCCTGTCGTTTGCCCATGGCATCCTGTTAAACCTCGCTTATATATTTACTGCGTGGACCTCAGGGTCCACGCAAAAAAATACGTAGACAAGTAAGTGTGAAAATAATGGCCTAACAATTTGTACCAAAACTTACAGGTCTACATTCGACTTGATGATAGACTTCATTTTCTGACAAGCTCATGATATCGACCATAGAATTCTCGATATGTTGAATTTAAATGAGATACTTGATATCCTTGTTTTATCAACTTATTTGTTTGTATCTTGTTTCATTTCAGAAAATGTTTGTAAGTCATTTGAAAAATAAAGAAAACACGAATCTTTAAATCATTTTAAAGGGTTAATTAAATGTTCAATTTGGTAGTCACATACTCACATATTAGTAGTGTAAATTTAACAAACTAGAGGTAATATGAGCACTAAAGGATACCCCCATATGATTATAATGGCAAAAACTATATTTTGCTCTAGGAGTCCCAAAATAAGTGTCAGATAAAAAGTAAATAGAAGTTGCACAATGGCATTATATAATGAAGAATCTGTGAAAGTGGTGTAGAAAGAGTTGCGGATAAAAGATGGGTACCCTTTCATATTATAGAAAGAATAACAGCGTCAATGTTTTCATTCTAGAAGCCCGAAATATGTGTCCGATCAAAAAGTAAAATAAGAGGTGCACTATGTAACTATGATTTTGTAAGAGTTTCTTTAAACTTCAATCAGTGGTATAAAAGGAGTTGTGGATGAGAGATGGGTACCCTAAAGCGTAACAGATGAACCTACAGATGAACGGACGGGTAGACGGTCAAACAGAGTATACCCTTCCACTACTTAGTATTCCAATTTAAACGTTTGACTGTAATTTGCGTTTGAGTTTAATTTTCGTTGTTTTCGAAGTATGGAGAGACCCACGACTTTTTGACCACCACGAAATGTTAAAGTTCTTATGCAATTACTACTAAATATTCTCCAACAACGAAATCAAATCCCCACAAACCAATTTTTTTCTCAAACCTTGAAAATTTGACCCACGAAAATATGTGATTCTACAGTATTTAATTCGTAGGTAGACATTACACATTTGATTCGAATCCTTCAATGTTTTTTTTATGATTTTGCACCACCAGCCTTATTTTCTTGATCGAATAACAATTCGTTTACCTTACCATTCGACAATTTTAAGAAGTCAAAATATGCATGTAACAATGTAGGTAATCTTTAGAGTAAGTTCAGGTTAATACACTTAATTGTCATTCTCTCACATTACCTTTATCGTTGATGTCTTCTGACATATTGAAAGATATCCCTAGCAAGACACAGCTAAACACTATGAAGAAAATAGCTACGGCCCCCACAATCCTCGCGATGACTTTCCGCCTCACCTCGGCGGCGTCGATTCTATTTGAGGGAGGAGAACTCTTCGTGGTATTGGTTGTGCACGTCTCTTCAAACAGGGAATCGGGTAACTCTATTTGTTGGGACGAAAGAACTTCGATTTCGTCATGATTTTCATTGTTCATGATCACATTTGATATTAATTTCTTGTCAAAATAACATATGCTGCCATTTCTGGTAATTTAATCCATTTAGAATTAAACCATTTAATTTATGAACAGACAAGGAAGTTCCAGATTTTCTATCACCAATAAAGACGGCCATTTTTTTTTCTTCCTTCTTTTTAGCTAAATGTTTAATAGATCACACTTTCAGTCTTGCAGCAATTTATGCGATCTATAACAGTAAGCAGGAAAGTTGGGGTTGGTAGATGGTTTTCTTCATTAATCTGCACAGAGGCGGTAGACCAGTCTAACTTCGTGTGATTTATGAACATTGATGAGTAAAGTGGAAAAGTTTATCTTTTTTGGTACACCCTAATCAGCTGTTTCCATCAATACTTAGATGCGTAACAGGGAATCTGGTCAATTTCGGCGAAAACGTCATGCTATTAAATAACTCCTAACCAAATCTATTGTAGCATTCAACGTAACACGGAAAAGTTTGAAATGCTTCTTCTTCAGAAGAGTGAGATGAATTTTTATATGCCGAGATTTTGATTTCCGGTTTCCATAATTTGAATGATTTTCGATTACTACTGCTTTGTGGCAGTGTAATATTTTCCTGGCAGTTTTAATTATGTTTATGATATGGCATGTCAGTATGTTTATAGTGGATAGGAAATATTTTGATTGCTCGATAAAACGACGGTTCAAACGCACCTTTTTCTCTTTTTTAATGCTGTTTAGTGCGATTACTAAAGAGCTAACAGATCAGAGTGTCTGGAATTAATTCCCGAAAAAAAATCTTGTTTAGATTTTCTTTTTTATTCACAGAGTTAATTAATTTGTCTCCAATGAAAGTACACAATCAAAAAGTGCGTTAGATTTAATTTGCCATGATTGTTTGATATATTTAGAGTTCAATATTAATTAAAGAGTTCGCGTACCTGATTATGTTACTTTTTGAACTTTGAATGAAAATTGAATGCAAATACTTAAGAGGTTCACATGCATATAAAAGCTTTTAAATCCTGCAATGTCATGCTGTTATTTTAATGAATAAATATACTTTAATCTTTGATGACGATACTTTGAACTAAACAAAATTAATAAAACACCCTAATAATCAGTTTCTCCACACATAATGTGGTGTACTACCGCTTACGTTAATATATGGTTGAGGGACTTATATAAGGAGTGTTGTACAGTAGTATTTCTCCGACGGTCAGCTTCTTCCGAAATTCTGTGTTCTAGAGGACCCCCACCCCCGTAAAATCTTACAATAGTGTCAAATGTCAATCTTATTCTTCCTCAGAGTAAGATTTCCTCTCCTTCATCAATGTTTAGATCTGATGTAATATCTAAATGTTTTGGCCAAAGGTTTCTTTTATGAAAGCCAACTGATTTTTATGTTTCCGACTTAAGAATTTTTGAATTGAGTATAAAATCATAAAAGATAAACAGTGTAGTTGACTCAATTTACAATAGTTATTTCCATTCAAATGAAAAATATACCATTCAGTTTATCCTGGTGTACATTGAAATAAAATTCACCACAGAGCCTGTCATAACTGTTTAGTTTTTGGTGTTTTACTGACTTTAAATGGTAAAGGCCGAATAACAGCAAAACTGTATGACAAACGAGAGGGCTTCATCTTTCCCATCATTATCTTTCCTTGTTTATGAAGCAATTTTCCGCAATCACATGCATATGGTGTTATGGATCTAAACACATTCTCCACCCTAGATCATGCTCTAAGAAGGATCAATCTTTTAACCAAGACAGGGTACTCAAACATGTTACAGGGATTTCAACTATTTCGTTTGAAGTCAACGCTTCTGTGGTCGTTGTAATGAAATATCCTCCTATCCACGTTTTGTGTTCAGCAAATTCAAAAGTGAAAAGAATTAGATAGATTACATCGTCAATATGTACTGGTCCCTGCTGACAAAGCAGGTAGCAACATTGCCTTCGTTTGTAAGGCTCATCATATAAATTGTATTTTAGAGATCAAGGATTTAATTCTACTAGTGGTAATCCAACTTATACCCATAACTCCCTTTCTAAGGAGGAAATTCTTCAAAATCATGTCAGATTTGAATATTTTTGATATTCCCAACAACCAGAAATTATTTGAATTACCATATCTATATTGGACTCCTAGACCACAAGAGTCCAAACAAAGATTCATAGCGGGTTCCAGTAAATGTTCTACCTAGCCTCTGTCTTTACTACTCACTATTAACAGTAGCGAGGCGAAACTTCAGGTGTACTGTGCAGGAATACATTCGAGGAGTGATGTGGATACTTAAAAGATTGAAATCACAAAATTTCCCCAAAATCAACAGCATAAAAACTTACAGGACTGTTCAATTTTATATACAAACATTCCTCACGATATAAAACCATGCTTTTTGATATCAACGACAACTGCTTTTTAATAAAAATGAAATTCGTAAATTTTCTTACTTTGTCATTGGTCATTTGCAAAATTATTTTGCTAAAACAATCTGATTGTACACACAAGTACTCTGAAGTTGATATTAAAAAGATGCTTGATTTTCTGATTGACAATATCTATGTGGTTTTTGGAAACCAGGTCTTCCAACAATCTTTTGAGATACCTATGGGTACCAATTGCAGATATATTTCTGCATTCATATAATGAAGCGGAATTTGTCCAAAATCTTGAACGTGAAAAGAAGAAAACACTTGCTGTGATCTTCAACTAGACATTAAATATATCAAAGACGTATTGTCAATTTACAATGGATGTTTCCATTTTATATTCGATGTATCCCGATGAGCTTGAAATAAATGATGCCACAGAACTGACTTATCTGTTGCATGCTCTACGTATGAACAATTTCTAAAGTTCGAGGTAAATTGTTGACAAACACGTTGCTGAAACAAGAAAATCAGCAGTCTCATTTAAAGCCATCATTTCGTAAGTTCTATGATCGATACAATGACCTTGTCAGCAATACAATTTATCAAAAAGTCAAATGCTGACTGACGCTTTTCATACTGATATATTTCTCGGCCTATGGTCATATCCTTCGATCTGATCATATCAGTTGTACTGTTTGACTACGTTTACTACGCCACGAACGTAATTTACTTGAAATAAAGAGATATTTTTACTGAACGTTAACGAGCAACGCATGTTAATGACAGCAGAATAATAAAATTCATTTCAAAATGCTAACAAAAAATATTTTCTAGATTAGCCTGAAACTTTTATGAAAACTTTCCTAAAACTGTTGTTTTGTGTTCATCAAGACGAATTTGAAATAGTGAACCTTATTAAATCACATTGCAAATAGCCCAGAATTTGATCAAATCTTTTAGACATAAAGCTTGATTGTGGCGTGTTGTGCAGAATGCAAAATCAAGGTCATGAATACACAGTTTATAAGAGGGCTTATGTATATTGATTGATTGATTCTTGTTTAACGACAAAACGGGAAAAACAAAATATTTGAGAAAATCAGTAATCTTGATTATTTTGGTACACCTCCTCAGGCCTCCGTTAATGTGGACCGTTTGTTCCTCTTTGTCTTTACTTGTTAAATATAAACATTATTGAGATTGGTTACTTTGTTCTAGATATAATATATGCCGCTGAAACGATCAAATAAACAAACGAGGGACCACGCACGACACCTGAGGAAAAAAGTTATTAACAAAAGGTCACTTGACCTACATATAGATGACTTAAAATATTTATCTAACAATTATCTTTACATTTTCAAACATGTAAAATTGTTTTAAAAAGGATAATTTTGAACTACTTGTATATCTTATATATTTTGTATCATATCCGTGTTTCCCTTTTTTATAACAATGATCAAATATCAAATATAGTCTTATTATTTATTTACCACATTAAATAATTTATGAACCTTACCTATCGTTAATAATGAACGAATTAATAAATAGATTCTAAGAAATAAATGGAATACAAATTAAGAAAATTTTGATATAATTCAATTTGTCAGTTGAGTTCAACGATATTGGTAACTTTGAGAGAATGACATTGTATACTGTAAACCAAGTATTATACGCGTGCGATAAATATCAATTATTTATCGTCGCGAACCAGTTGTCAAATACGATTATTTGCCCTTTTTTGAAATATTCAATAAGTAATCACGGGTCGAAGAACTTTTGTGTTCTAAAAGCAGTTGAAATTTAATTGCATTTATATAAACGAATTAAAACTATTTGTCTAAAAATGATTAAAATGTCAATAATTATTTCAATAATTTATGATAATCTACTGTGTCTCGGTATCACCACAGTTAGAATAATGTAGCAAAAATTGCAGAATCGCAAAACGATTTTGAAGGATACAAACGGATTTGCACTGAAAATAACTTGCAAATTAATCATAACAAACCTTTTTGAGATTGCTTATGCCTTTTATCCCAAAAAAAATAATCCATATAAATACGAAAATCCAATTCATTTTCTCAACGTTTTTCTCTCGATTCAAATTACCTCCATGTTTACATTCGGAACTCTCTAGATTGTTCATAGTAAATGCACTATGCGAGTTATCGCCCGTGTTTCTTTTTGCTACATTACGAATACATGGAATACAAACCGGGTTAAGAAAATTTTAACGATATAATTTATCAATTTTGTCACAGACGAGTTGAGTTAGCAATTACGACTATTATAGGTAACTTTATAATAATTGCCCTACATGTAGTATAATTATCCAATTAGCATGACGTCATGCTCCTATAAATCTTCACTCGCTCGAATTGAGAAGAAGACCCTGGTCTCAAAACTTTTTCATTTTTGTATGATATAACAAGTAATTTACGGAGGTAGAAACTTGACAAATAAAGTTAAATTCATTTATATTACACGGAGTTCGCTGCAATTTCGGCAGAAGTATTCACAGATTTGCGTTTAAAGGTACATGGACACAGACTTGAAGTTAATGTTTTCTGTATAATATTACGACTTATATATTTTAATAGCATTTTATACAAAAATAAATTAAAAATCTTATTTCATCTTAAAGTTATTGAGACTTCAAATTTTTGGATGGGTTTGATTGACATATCCTTGCACTCTCACAAATTTTACTTTTATTCTTAATACTTGGGAAAAGTGGCGATCTTGTTGTGTATTAATGAAAAATATTAAGACTTTAATCAAGAAAAATAATTATATTCAGAATAGAAATGTTAAAAAGCAAAACTCCTTCGCAAGTATCGTTATTCTGAGCTAAGTGTTGTGTACAGAGTTTAGCAAATTGATCACACCCGTGAAACGTACACAGTTTTCGTAAACAGGACAAGAGCCCTGTTATTGTTGATGTTTAACAATTCACCGGGTGCGTTCATTCGTTAACAGCACAACTGCATTTACTGCCAATATATTGTGTGTACTCGTATGTTTTGCTTTTGAATATTTCTGCTCTGATTTCTGCTTCTGCATTATATTTTTTAATATTTTTTCATTATACACAACAAGATTGCCACTTTTCCAAAGTATTAAGAGTAAAATCAAAATTTGTGAAAGTGCAAGGATGTGTCAATCAAGCCCGTCTAAAAAAAAGAGAAGTTTTAATAACTTTTAGACGAAATAAGATTTTTAATTTATTTTTGTGTAAAATGCTATTAAAATATATAAGTTGTATTATTATACAGAAAAAATATTAACTTCAAATCTGTGTCCATACACCTTTAAAATATGCATGCATATGTATAATCTGTGTATTTATTAATCAATGGAATTCGCTGCAACT